ATCAATGAAGAGTACATCTGTGAAAATAATCTTGAGGCAGTTGTACTTTCTAAAATGTTTTAATGCCTTAATTCCTTAATATACTTTTAAATAACAATAACAGTAAATTATAATTTCTTATTCAAAGGCCATCTATTTCAGTTTTTTTAATTCCTTACACTAAAAAATTTCTTTAAAAAATAATTCTTATGTTGTTAGTTCAAGTGAACAATTATTAAAGACTAATAAACAATTACTTGTTTGTCTAATATGTTTTTTTAAATAGACTAAAGGAGCCAAGTCATCTGCACAGAGTAAGTCATGGAGCACTGATTTCCTGCACAAATTTTAAATATAAAATTATAATCTATTAAGACTACTACAGGATCTTTTGTAAAGAAAAATACTTATGTAAGAATACATGAGTAATTTGTAAAAAATTTTTCTACAAACTAGCATACAGGCTAAGGATAGTAGAAAAGGATAGAGGACAATGAGGGGAATGAGAGAGGGAGAGGAAGAGCCTAGGAAAGAAGAAGCAAGTGTGAAAAGAAAGGAGGGAGGATATGGTGACTATTGTTGATTAACACTGAATTGTATAACTGAAATGTGCTAAGAGAACTTAAATGTTATCACCAAAAAAAAAGTAAATATGTGAAGTGATGGATGTGTTAATTACTTCATAGGGAAGAAACCTTTCACAATGTATATCAAATCATCATGTTGTACACTTTAAATATCTTAAAATTTTATTTGTCAATGATACCTCCATAAAGCTGAAAAAAAGAGAAAGGAGGGAGGATATGCTAAGCAAAGCCAGTAAATAAAAATTTAGATTGGAAAAATTAAGGGGCAGTGATTTATTCTATGCTATAGGACAGAATTAGATGCAAAGTTTCATTACATCTAAAACACAGTCTACTTATCTATAAAAATATCCACTCATACTTATTTTCAAGGAATAAATCTACATAGCAAAAATCCAGTTATATAAAACTTTTGAGTTCACTAAGTCAAAGCTTATTTTTTACTTAGAGCATCAATAACATTTACTCCTACACCAATGAAGTTGTATCCATGATCAACAACTTACCTTCCTGAAATTCAGTATCATTCAACGGAAAGGATTCTCTATTAGCATGACCACATTTTTAAACAGGCAATTTAGGGCAATAAATGGGGATATGTGATGAAGACAGCTATACAGAAGTGCTCTTCTACATAATTCACTAACAGTGGTGGTGGTGAGGAACTTGCTCCTTCCAAAATCTTAGGGAGAAGACCGTAACACTGTAATGGTCACAGCTAAGAAAAGTTGGTTTGGAGTCTTAAAGTGGAGGAAAATAATTTTTCTTAATGTAACTCTCATGTTCCACATGAGAAATCTTATAATCCAAGCTATAGAAAGTTTCCAAGCACTGTGACTTGTTTCATATACTGTAGTTCTCAACCCTTTATACTCACATGTGCATAAAATTCTCAAAATAACATCACTCATTACACAGTGATTTTTTAACACACCACAAAAAGGCTGACTAAACACATGGTCACCTTATATATAAAGGAATACTCTCTGAGTTACATGGTTTAAATAACAATTCACAAAACAATCTACCCCACATCAAAGTGTAGAGTATACATGTAAAGCCTATATGTATACTCTACAGCTACAAATCCACAAAACCTAGAATTAATCCAGGCAACTCAACCAGATACAAAGCATCTGAAGTTAAAAGTCAACTAATATAATAAAAAAGTAACGACTTTTAAAAACCAGATTAAGTTAAATCCTCACATAATACTACACATTTTGAAAAATTTTAGTAACTAAAAATATTAATAATAATAGTTTTTAAAATGTATTTAAAAATGCTTAAAGAGAGTAAGTGACTAAAAAAGCTCTGTATACTAGAAAAAATTAAATGTGTGTGTGTTATGTGTGTGTGTGTGTGTGTGTGTGTGTATAAAGCTTACTTTTAAATCTAATGTTTAGTTTTTCCTTACAATTTAAAACTACATACAGGAAATTCTAGAAGTCATAAATAAAGAAAATACGAAGTCCCCTCTTCTTGCTGAAATGTGTACATAACTGCAGTAGATGTAAGTTAGATATAAATATATACTACATGTATGTCTCTTATTCTATATAGAAATCTCCTTAAATATTTTCCCAAGGGAGTGGGAAAAATTTATTCTCTCAAATTGAAAGTTTTTGTCCACTAAAAATATTTATATTTGTTCTCAAAATTATAGCTGTCTTATATTCTACAGTTATTTCCATATGAAAACTTCAATATAAGTAGTTTATCACAGTGAATAAACTTGTTCAATGAATACTGAGAAATCTAAACGTATCCAGATTGCATACAAATGAAAATGTGTGCTATTTCAAAATTACATACACCTCTTTAAAAATTAGGGCTCTATCAAAGGCAATCTACAGATTCAATGCTATATCTATCAAAATTCCAATAGCATTTTTTACAGAAATAGAACAAATAATCCTAAAATGTGTATGAAACCAAAAAAGACCATGAATAGCCAAAGCAATCTTGAGAAAGAAGAACAAAGCTGGAGGTATCATGCTTCCTGATTTCAAACTATATTACAAAGCTACAATAATCAAACAGTATGGTACTAGCACAAAAACAGACACATAGATCAATGAAACAAACAGAGAGCCAAGAAACAAACCCACACTTATATGGTCAACTAATCTACCACAAAGGAGGCAAGAATATACAATGGAGAAAAGACAGTCTCTTCAATAAATGATGTTGGGAAAACTGAACAGCCACATGTAGCCACACGCAAAAGAAGGAAACTGGACCACTATCTTACACCATACACAAAGATCAACTCAAAATGGATTTAAGAACTAAAATGTAAGACCTAAAACCGTAAAACTCCCAGAAGAAAACATAAGCAGTAAGCTCTATGACATAGGTCTTGGCAAGTGCTTTTTTGAATCTGACACCAGAAGCAAAGGCAGGCAATAAATGCAAAAATAAACAAGTGGGAGTACATCAAACTGAAGAACTTCTGCACAGCAAAGGAAACCACCAACAAAATGAAAAAGCATCCTACTTAATGAGAGAAAATATTTGCAAATCATATATCTAATAAGGGGTTACTATCCAAAATATATAAAGAACTATTACAATTAAATATCAAAAAAACAAACAATCCAATTTAAAAATGGGCAGACGATCTGAATAGACATATTTCCAAAGAAGACATATAGATGGCCAACAGGTACATGAGAAGATGCTCAGCATCACTAATCATCAGGGAAATGCAAATCAAAACCAAAATGAGTCACCACCTCACACCTGTCAGAATGGCTGTCATCAAAAAGACAATAAATAACAAATGCTGGCAAGGATGTGGAGAAAAGGGAACCCTTGTGCACTGCTGGTGGGAATATAAATTGATGCAGCCACTATGGAAGGCAGCATGGAGGTTCCTCAAAAATTGAAAACAGAATTACCATATGATCCAGTGACTCCACTTCTGGGTATTTATCCAAAGAAAACACTAACTCGAAAAGATATCTGCACCACCATGTTCATTACAGCATTATTTACAACAGCCAAGATATGGAAACAACCTAAGCATCCCATCAATGGATGAATGGATAAAGAAAATGTGATACACACATGCACGCACACACACATATATATATATATATAAAGGAGTATTATTCATCCATAAAAAAATAATGAAATCTTGCCATTTGCAACAACATGGATGGACCTTTAGGGCATTATGCTAAGTGAAGTAAGTTGGACAAAGAAATGGTATCACTTAAATGTGGAATCTGGGGAAAAAAAAAAAAGCTTATAGACAGACAAGCTCTAAGATAAAGAAAATAGACTGGTGTTTACCAGAGGCAGGGGTGGAGGTGAGGGTGGGAGTGAAATGGGTGAAGAGGGTCAAAAGGGCCGTTTTTAAACAAGTAAGTCATGGGAATGTAATATACAGCATGGTGACTAGAGTTAGTAATACTGTATTGTATATTTTAAAGTTGCTAAGGGAGTATATCTTAAAACTTCTCATCACAAGAAAAAAATTTGTTCTAATTATGTAAGATGACAGATTTTAACTAGACTTATTGTAGTGATCATTTTGCAATGTACACAAATACCAAATCATTATGTTGTACACCTGAAAATAATGTTAGACAGTGAATATACTTTTTCTAATTAAATTTTAACTTTAAAAATATGGGCAATTAATCGCACACTTAAATCACATTGGCTGAATTCAATTTTAGTCCCTAAAGAATACTTATTTATGAAATAAATAAATTCAACCTAAATTACTTGATTATTATTTTCTTTTGTTACTTATTTCAAACTATAAAGTTCATGTGCAAGATTATCCTCTATTATAGGTCTACACCTAATTATCTATAAACACTAACAGAAACAATACTGAACCAGTCAGGCACATCAATTTCCTTCCATTCCCTTTTATTAATAAGTACTTCTAACCCAGCTCAACAACCAATCACATTTCAAATTGCTGACTTGAAAAAATGTATTAGAGGCACATTTTAAAAACAAATACAGTACGAAATCTTGCTTTTCACTGAATCACTGAATTTTGTTTGTTTGTTTTTTGGCTATTTGGATTACTTTCTTCTTCTGGGTAAGTTTAGTATGTAACTCTCATTCTTTAGGCAAAAACCCACAGACTTAAAATGTATAAAAAGTTAACTCATTACTGTCAGCTGAAGACAACAAAACTAGCACCATAAGAACAACTGTACTAAATTTTAATGCTGTTCATTAATAGTTCCATTTTCCTGAGTTTGCGTTTGTTCTTTGGCATCGGCTTAGGATATAATCCATTTTTCAGAAGGTGTTCCTTGCTGAGGCGAATTTGAGCACCATGCTGAAGCTGGAAAGAGCATAAAGCTTGAAGAGGGCGAAGCAAAGTCTGTTAAGATAAAAAAAAAAAGATACTAAAAAAAGTGTGACAAATCATGATATTCTATCTAAATTTTTTCTTTAGAAACAGGGATTATTATTTTATTATTAGCTTTTAACTATGAAAAGCAATAGGCAATCAAATATATGATAACTTCTAAATAAATAGTTCATTTAAATTCATACCTTACATACCACTAAGGAATTCCAGTAAGACACAAATACTAATTTTCCATATAGGTGATAAAGTCTAAATTTAGTTTTATACTTTAATATATTCAAACACTACAAAAATTGTGGCCATTATAATAACTAATCTGTAACAGCAGACTAAAAGAGACATTTAGGTACAAATTAGTTAATTCAGTTTCAATTACAGACTAACACAAGCTTCCCGCTACTTGCTAACAAATGGATGATGGCAGCAATGGGTAAGTTTACTAATTCTCTCACACTACTCCATGGCCCACATACAAGTTAGATAACCAGGTGTGGGTGCATTTGAAATAACTGTAACTGTATACATACCTGTCTGAACTCAAATACCTATAGGGCCAGACATATAACATAAACATGTGACCTAGGTGGACCTATAAGGTAACAGAGAATGGTGGAGGTTGTCAAACAACTGAGCATATGTCCTTCTTAAAGTTATTCAAATTCAAAAGTTAGGAAAAAAAAAAAAAACATTAAGCTAGTGTTTTAAACATATTTGAGTCAGAGTCTTTCCCTGGGCCTGAGATCCCTGATATAACACTTTTAAATAACAAACTTGATGGTGCAGATTGTTTAAAAAGAAAATAAAAGGAACAAAGATTTAACTACAAAAATTTCACAATGTCTATGTAAAAATGTATTCCCCCACATATACAACAAAAGTGGCAGCAAAGGGCTTAACAGCTTTAATTTACAATGAACTCTTACAAATATGTGGCAGTCACTGGTAGTTGCTTCTCCATATCCATTCTTTTCTTCCTTATTAAAAAAAATCTAAAATTTTATTCAAGGTGGCAATGTGTCCAGCTAGTAATACTACATTGACTAATGACAGTTTATCCAACAAGATGTAAGTGGAAGGCCTTGGGTTGGGACAGACCTAGCAGGCATAGGCTTTTGCCTTTTCTTCTTGCCTGGAACGTGATTGCCACATGTGGGATGAACACATGTGACTACAGGACAATAAACATGAAGATTAAAACCAAATACATACAGTGGTGGACAGAAAGACAGAAGAAATCTGGGTCTCTGATGTCCTCTTCAGCTGCATCCCCAGCCCTAGACCACTAACTTCAGCATTTCTTATTACAGGAGAAAAATAAACTCATATATGGCTCAACCACTGCAGTAAGGGCTCTGTTACATGCAACTAAATGTAACTCCTAACTGAGACACACCAGTAAGAAAAAGACAAACATCTTGGAAAAGCTCTGCCTGACATTATTGTAGAGAGTCTCTTAGGTATGTTCTCATAATTTCTTTTCGTATCTTCAATTCTTCAAACAAGAGAAGAAATATAGAAATGACTATATATTACTTTACAGAATCAATATAAGGAAGTGACTGAATCCTGAAACATCATGCCTAGGAAACATACCTTGGACCATATACAGACTGAGACAATTGCTATTTTATGACATTTATTAGATTCTTCATAGATAGAAGAGTATTAATACTCCTATGATTAAGGGCCTTCAACTTTTACTTCCTGAAGATAAGATTCTATCAATTTTCTGAGTAATTAAGACAATGAATTTTGGAGATAGACAGATCTGTGGTAGTCACTAGGGTTGTTCACAAATACATCAGTCATCTTTCATGATACATGATCAGACTGCATTTTCTAGCCCCCTCTGAAGTTAGGCATGGCCATATAACTTGACTTGGTTAATGAAATGTGAGCACAAATAATGTGTGTCACCTCTGGGCAGATGCTTTAAAAGTGGTGTATGATTCCCCACCTCTGTTTATTCCTTCCTTAAAGTGATGTGTCTAGATGGTGCATCCATCAGCCTGGATCCAAGTGACTATAATTAGCAGCGGTCCCCCTGGCAATCCCACTGTACAGACAGTGTGTTATGCCATTCTGATTTTGGGGTTTTAAGTGACTGATGCAATCACTTACTAGCTATGTGTTCCCAGATAAGTTAACCTCTCTTTGCCTCGTTTTCTTCATCTGCAAAGTGAGGAATATTATGTCCACCTTATAAGGTTATTATTATGGTGCACTCACATGATACATTTAAAGTGCTTAGCATATAACTTGATTGATAATAAATGATAATGTTTCTCTCTACATTCATAACATTATATCTGGGGCAATGTGAAGCTATATGAGAGG